GCTGCGGCGCCGGCGGCCGCGACGGCTGCGGCGACGGCGCGGCGCGCCTCGTCCTGCTGCTGCTGCAGGTCGCCGGCCGCCTTCTGCAGGCGCGCCTCCAGCTCCATTACCTGGGTACAAATCAGGACAGCGTTTCAGAATCGCATTTCCATCAGCCCAGTGCAACATCTAAAACATCTATTGACAGAGAGGGAGCGGTCGCATCCAGGCCACAGCGCAACGGTGGGCTGGGGATCCAGGCACGCAGGCTAAGTTGCGGGTGTGGGGTGAGCAGCCGCACCTGCGCGCGCGCCTCGTCGCGCTGGGCGCAGGCGTTCTGCAGCCGCGTGATGAGCTCGTCCTTCATGCCTGGGTGATAAGATGGGGGGGGGGTTCAGGGGGGTGGGCGAGGGGTGCAATGGGTGTGGGCATGTGCGTGGGCGTGTAAGTTTTGAGTCACTCTGGTTGGCACGACGATCACGGCTCATGCGTTCAACACTGTGAACATTGTGCGGGCGACCATATGCCCCAACAACAGACCACCTTCAACGGCAGGGTGCCCAGCAGGTGCTGAGAAGCGGCGCGACCGCCAACACCAGCACCCTGGTCCAACATGAGCCCCTGGATTGCCCCTATCGCTGCTGTTCCCCCCCACCGTTGAACCTCTTGTCCAGGTCAGCCTTCTCCACCATGAGGCGCTGGATGTAGTCCTGGGGGGTTGGGGTTGGTTGGGGTTGGTTGGGGTTGGTTGGGGTTGGTTGGGGTTGGTTGGGGTTGGTTGGGGTTGGTTGGGGTTGGGTGGTCAGAATGAGGCAGTCGTACATCTGCAACCAACCGACGCGCAGACAACTTTTTGTGTGGCGGGATGACAAAAGAGTCGCGCACGCTGCGGTACACCGCTTCAACTTTGGCGGCCAAGCATAACCACCGGAAGGGTCCTGCAAGCTGCGCCTGCAGTCGCAGCAGCGCGTGCGCAGACGCTCCCTCTGCACGGCTCGTCCCTCCAAGACACACGGGCGCATCCCACGGGCGCCTGCCTGCAGCCACGCCGCGCACGCACACGATCGCCCCACCTGCGCCACCCCGAGCTTCTTAGCCAGCTCGCCCTTCTCTGCGCTGAGCTTGTCCCGTGCGCCCTCCAGCTCAGACAGCAGGGCCGCGGTCTGCAGGGCAGAGGGGCGGCCGTTTAGTCTTCCATTCCAGCGCACGGTCGCAAGTCGCGACGGACATAACTAAGCAGGTCAACGGTACACCAGTAGACGTGCTCAAGCGCCGCGAAATCAAGAGCGCGGGGCGAGCTATTTTGTACATCGGGTGGTGTGCGCAGCGTTCGTTGGCTTTGAAAGCGGCGCGGCAGGGCACTGTCAGCAGCCAGGTCGAGGTGCGCGGCCCACCTTGGCCTCTGCGTCCGCGTTGGCGCCGCGCAGGGCGGCCAGCTCCGCGGCGGCCGCCGCGCCCGCAGCGGACACCGCGGCAGCGCGCTCGGCGGCGAGGTCCTAGCAATTGTTTGGAAGGATAACCGCGGGGCCGGGAGCCGGCGGCGGGGCGCGGGAAGCGTGGGCCAATGCAGGGAGCAGGGGCGCCGGCTGCCGCTCTACTAAAACACGCACCTCTGTAGGCCTTGGCCAATATGAGGACGCGCAGCAGCAAAATTGAGCATGCCCCCGCGCTCTGCCCTGCCTCATGGGGCTGCTGCCAGACGGCAACCACTGCAAAGCCTTGGGCTCTGCCGCTCCCGCCACACAACGTGTTAGTCAGCCCCCTCTCAAAAACGCATGACACTGGTGTGCGCCTGGGCCGCTCACCGCCATCCGCCGCTCCGCCTCCGCCAGCGCCGCCTTGGCGTCCTTGACCTCCTGCCGCAGCTCGTTGCGCTGCCCCTGCACCAGCTCCAGCGTGCCCTCCATCTCCTTGAGCTGTGGAGCGTGCGGTTGGGGTCGGGTGGGATATGTTGGGGGCTGGTCAAGCAGGTGCAGAAACGGGGTCGGGTCGCAGATTGCGACAAAGCACACCAGCAGGTGCCAGCACACACCACAGCTGGACTCGCTATGGAAGACCGCAAGGAAACCTTGGTCAAAGCACGGCTCAAGCCCAATCAATGCAGGGTTAAGGCCCGACCAAAGCATGGTTGAAGCCCGGTCAAAGCGTTGTCAAAGTGATCACAACACAGCAGCCGGCTCAGGCGTTCAGGCCCCCACCTTGCCCTCCAGTGCCTTCTTGTCCTCCAGCAGCTTCCCGGCCTCGCGCGCCTCGGTCTTGAGCGCGCGCAGGGCGGAGCGCGCCACCTTGACCCTGGAGGGAGGGGGTAGGAGAGGGGGAGAGGGCGCTGCTCAACGGGACAGCCGTCCAGCGGTCCTTGACAGGCCGCACAAGTGTCGCAGCGCAGGAGAGCAGACAGAGTTGGCCCGCCAGTCATCGTACGGGAGAAGGCAAATGGGGTGCGGGCAAAGCGCCTGGCAGTGCCGTGAGCAAAGCCGCAGCCAGGCCGCGCGAGCACGAGGCACGTGCGCACCTCCAGGCGTTCTGCAGCGTGGTGGCCGCCTCGCGCTGCTGCGTGAAGCCGGAGGCCGCCACCCAGCGCCGCCAGTTGGACTGCATGACCATGGCCGCGCGCTCGCGCCGCATGAGGTCGTACTGCGTCCGCGCCTGCGGAGGGGCAGTGAAAGGGGGTGCGTGGCGTGGGGGTAGATGGGCGGTTGCGCACGCGGCGACTGGGTGTGATTGATTGCACACACAAGCATCGCACACACAAGCATCAGCATAAAGCACGCATGGGTGCGGCCCATTCCCTGGGTTCAGGCATCAAGGTGAGCGCGCCGCCGCACCTGCCGCCCGCGCCAGAGCGCCTGCACCGCGACCACCAGGGTGTGCGCGTGCTTGTACTCCTCACGCAGCTTGTGGCGCCGCCACGCCGTCTGCACCACCAGCGCCGCGCGCTCGCGCCACAGGTGGCAGAAGCGGCTGCGTGCGAGCAGGCCGCGGGCGCCGGCCTGCAGCGTGACGACGGCGGCGACCGAGCCGCGGAAGTGGACGCGCGCCAGGTAGCCGCGGGCGAAGCGCTGGATGACGGTAGCAGCGCGCCCCATGCAGTCTGTGTGTGTGTGTGTGTGTGTGAGTGTGTGTGTGTGTGATAATGGGGTAAGCAGCACCGAGATGTTGAGTGCGGGCCACAAGGGGTGAATGTCTCGTAAGAGGCCTCGTCAAACTGCTCCTTGCCGCACGCAAGCTGCTGCCGCCCCCGCAACACATTCACCACCGCCGCCTGAAGCGAGACGCCTCCCCTTGCCCCCAGTCCCCCCGGGGACTGGGGGCACTCACCCGCGCGCTGCTTGTCCAGCACAGCCACGTGCCCGGCCCTCAGGAACACCTTGCTGACGCCCAGCTGGTAGCCGCTGCCCGCCGGGATGCCGCTGCGCTCCAGGATGCCCTGCGCGATGTCCCTGGGGTCGGGCGCGGCGGGGGGCCGTGGTGGGTTGGCGCCGGCAAGGGCAGTGCAGTCAAGGGTCTTGGGTAAGCACTCGTGACACTGGACTCCACTTTGCTCACACCTACCCAACGCTTCCCCCACCCACCCAGCGC